GCCTTGCTAGCGACTTGCTTTTAAGCCAACTACAAATTATCGAGCCAACTGCCTTCAAAAAGATTGAGGGGCCTTTAGATGGTTCGTTGAGGACCGCAGATGCATGCAGTGGTTTTCGCTGCAAAGCTGGTGCGTACGAGAGCATTGGGTTTGCCGCGGCTGCAGCCCAAATCCCATCACAAAGTGTCTTTTGCTCACTTCTACAATTGGTGAAAAACGGGTCAAATCAATTGGCAGTCCCACTGGTCACACTACGGATCTGAATGGGATTCAGATGAGTGGTGCTTCCCAGAACGTGGTGATCATCTTCAAGTGACTTGTTTCTAGCGCATTATACCAATCCCCGACCTAGAGCCCGGAAGTTTCTGTCTCTGAATCCGAATTTCAGGCGCTTTCCAGTATGAAGATATCAGAACAAGGACTGCAATTGGGCCTTGCACAATTTACTCCCAGGGGAAGACAAGAATTTGGCTTGGACAAGGTGAAGAGCAATGTAGAAGCTCGAAAAGCATTAGAGGTCAGAATGACGTCATAAAGTTCTGAAAGGCCAAGAATAACACAGAGTTCTACATTTAAGTGAGTTGTGTTTTCTAGCAGGTACAGTTCTCACCATGCGACCTGCTCTCAGACAGAACCCGCTGCACTCCGCGAGCCAGTATCAACTCTCTCGCCGGAGAGGCTCTGCAGACAGGAAACCGCAAGTGGTTGCCGGATGTAGTAGTGGTCATATCGAGTGCCACTTATAGGATCCCTGAAAAGGTGAGTTGAATGTGTACGAAAATTACACCCTCAAGACATGAACTCAGGGCTCAAGTCCGGCGTGACTAGTAACTGGCAGTGACCATTTGGTACTTGAGTGGGATGCGATCCACTGGCGAAGCGTCTCACGCCACTGCGCTACCTTCGTCTCAATGCGGTGAATTCAAGCAGGAAATCCGGCACCATTCAATTATGACCCAACAGCTCAGAAAATTTTTGCTGATTTTTTTGACTGTAGGGGTTATTGCCCTGTTCGCGAATATGACATACGCCGCGAGCGCCGGTTCCATTTAGCGGGGCCATCTTTCTACCAAAATCGATATAAATTTGCCTACTAGGGTCATTTGAAGTTCTGATCACGAACATGACATCCGTTTCTGACGCCGGAATCGTGCCTTTGATGCCACGGCTATTTCTGCCAAATCCATTACTATTCCGCATTTGAGGTTAGTTGGAGGACCCAGTCACGAACATGGACACTTCATTTTTTGAGGCCAGGCGGCTTGAACGCTCGATAGTCTGATCACTGGAGCAAAAGCTGGTTTTTCTCTTTCCTGAGCTGAGGCACAGCATTGAGCTACACAGAAGGGCCTAGAGTAACATTGGAGCTAGAACATAGGTGGGGCTGGCCCAGTGATTAGCACCTGCACTATTTCGGCGCCAGATGGCACCAGGTCGCTAACCGAGGAAAAATATGGCATCATCGTAATCAAAACATCAAAAACCTGGTATGCACGAGTAGTGTACGCGATGTTGTTGAAAAGGAAAGTGGTGGCGCAGAAAAAAGCGAGCCGAAGCGCCTTGTGCTGAAACGGATGTCGCATGCATGACTGGGCACGAGCTGGTAACCTAACACGAAGTTTCCAACAATTATTCTGCTTGAGTTGTCGAATATGCGGCAAAAATCCCATGGCATTATCGCAAAAATTTCGAAAAATTAGGCTTCCTTGAGCCTATAACTTACAGCATACTCTATTTCCTAACCTTTCCCAGGTTGGCTGAATTTAAAAACAGTGGTTGGTAGCTCCAGCCTGCGCGCGCGTAATAGGCTGTTTCCTGAGATTTCAATGTTCGGGTGCCGTGGCAAGGAGAATGCGTAATTGCGCCGCGCGCTGGTGGTTGCCACGCAGCGATGTCGCGCACCGCATGACGATGGTCTTACAAGTACATCAGTGCGAAACAACCGCCTGAGGCAATTCAGAAGCGAAAACGGTCATGAGTGTCTACAATGACGGGATCTGCACGAAGCTCGGTGCTCCAATGGACAGGTTACACGAGTTGCGAGAACGTCCCCCGCCGCTCGCCGCGCGCGCGGAGCGGGCCAAATTGCGACGTCTCTTGCCGTCTTCCACACTTTTTCCCCCCCGACTAAATAAATAAAGATGGATTATGGTAGAGTTCCCGTGTGACTTCTATTTAACGAGGACTTGTGTTGTGAAATTTACTTACAACTTTTCTGAGCTATCTAAAAGCATGAGTCTTTCGCCGTTTTGCCACCCGATCCCTTAGGAGGGATGCGCACGCTTCTACTTCATCCATAACCGCGCAGTGGCTTATTTAAGTACGATGTTGCCTATGAAATGAATTTGCCAGCGGGCCTAGCCCAAGTGTGACAAGTCAGTGTTCTTATGCCTCCGTACCGCCGACGAACGGGTACCCAATTTACCGTCTCGGAGGGTATGAGAGGATTGGTTGGGCCCGGGATTTTGGAAACTCAGGGTCGGCGCAAGTGGTGAGCGCGCCCCTTGACAGCCCGGAACCGGCTGTCTCTCCCTGCCCTTTCTGAGCTATACATAGAGAGAAATGTGTTTTTTAAATAGCACCCGTTAAAACGCTGTGATTTGGAAATTGAGTTGATGAAACAATACGGAATAATCAGAGTGATTCTTGTAGACATTTTCACCGTCCCCATGGTCAGATATAGCGCTTACGGGTTGATGGTGACCTGACCTATCGGGAGACTTGCACAACTCCCCTATTTCTATTCTCTGTTCTTTGGACTGTGAATTACCTACTGTTCTCAATTTCAGCTGCCTCAAGAGACTCTATTCCCACCTATATCACCTTTGCACATCTTCTACATCATTGTCGGTGGAGCTTCGCCGGACGAGAAACGCTTTGAGCCATCTGCAACGTCCATCAATTTGAATGCTGTTGATTTCTCTGCTCTGGAGCGACTCGTGTTACCGCTATGCGAAACAGTAAATTCTTTTGTTGAAGGTGAGACTATTTTACGTTGGCATGAGGGTGCCGGTTGAGAATGTTGTGGCGAAGTGGCGTTGCAAGTGGCGCAACATGCAGAGCATCCACACCAAGGCAAGCTGAATGAACTGAGAGAACGTTGAGGTGCTACAGAATATCGAGTCAGCGAGCTAGGAAATATTAGCTAACATATGCATGTCGCCAAATGTGGCTCTCCCGAACGACAGAACTGCTCTAAGAATCCCTTCCCTCCTTCCCCAAACGACGCCTTCCTTAGGGGTATGTTCCATACTCCAAAAAAGTCGTGCATGGACGGATACGGTCTAATTTTTCAAATCCGAAGAAAAAGCTATCAGCTTCCATCAAAACCTGTCATATCATGAGAACTCTCAAGAAAGCTGAGTTATGGACGAAAGTCTGGACCCCGGGCGGGACTGGAACCCGCACCTCGCTTTCCGGGCTAGTGCGCGATCCCTTACGCCACATACACCACAAGGCCGCTTTTACTTTCCACTCGTCTGGAAAGCGTGAGCTAGGGGTTTAATTTCCGTTTGTAGGGAAGACTTTTCCCCACACCTAATGGTAAGCGTTCTTGTGATAACTTTCGGAGAGGGGACCGCGGTGTTATACAGCTGTTATCTTCACAAAATCAGCTTGGCGTAGTCTAAAAGTAGTCTACGCCAAGCTGACTGCCTTTGATTATGGATTACAAACAGCAGTTCTTATAATTCGATATTCGTATATTTTTTGGCCGCACTCATGGGGGAGTTTTTGTGAGCAGTGGTCGGCAGTCTCCATGACATCGGCCCTTGCGCAAGGTCTTTGTGTCTTGCGTTTTCATTTATCTCCAAGGAAGAATGTCCGTCGCCGATCTCCGGTGGTGGAATTACTTGAATTGGAACGTCACCAAATGCACCCACTACGACGAGCTCAATACTGTTTGGTGGACTACAAATTGTGAGTTTTTAAGGAGGGCTACTAATTGATCGAAAATTCCCATGTCCGATCCTTACCGTAGTCTGGTATTCCTTCCGATTTCGAGGGACGAAAAAAAATCGAACATCATCATTTTCGCTAATTTTTGTTAGTATGCCTTCGAAAAGAACATGCAAAGAAGAAGATGATTGTAGCCGACAATTCAACCTTTACTTCTACCTGAATGCTGAATGCTAATGTTCTAATTTTTGTCCGTGGCTTTTTGTTATTGATGTTATTTTATTATTATCTACCATACCTCATTTGTTCCATAATTTTTATTGGGCATATTTCTGTGCACTTTTATTATTTTATTTTTCTATATTTCGTTGACTTACAATGTTAATATTTCATAGCCTTTCCAAGAAATATTTTCAGGCGGTGCGAAAAGTGCTTCCTTTGGTTCTATATGTTGGTTAGTGACTGGTATCCTGGTTGCAGTACTTTTATTGACTATACTCGTGCTTGGATGCGCTCTTCACTCGTATCGAAATGAAGGTGAGTTGCCACAATTGTGTCCCTTTTGTCGCTATCTCATTCAAATCTCTTAAAAGCACATTCCACCATAACTAGGTGGGCGGTGACAAGGAACCGCTGCGGCGTCCTCATCAGTGCGTTCTCTCTACGCACGGATAAGGCGAAGCTCTATTTCCGCCCGTATGATCAGAGTGTGAAATGTGCTGTCGAAATGGCCTTGTTATAAAGAACTACTGCACGTCTTTATTAGAATAAGTGGAACTGTCCCTCCTAGCCACAGTGTTCACGAACAATTCTATCACTTGTCAACAAGGGAGTACAGTACGGCCCACAAATTTTGGAAGATCGATAATCTGCGACAGATTAGTTCGTCGCAAACTATTGCTCCACCATAACTTCCCAGAAGGCGACCTATGCAATCTGAAAAAAAGATAAGTGGATAGGCCTGACCGAGATGTACCCAGTGGCTCCCGGATATTCTACTGTTCTCCAGTAGAACTTTTTGACCACTTCCCTGGGAAAACCTACTCTTAAGTTTCCAGTTACCTGGGGTGATACGTGGGGAATTATTCGTGTAGGAAACCCTCCAGAGTTCCAGTGGAGCGCCAACATTCTCAAGAAGAGCGCCATTCCGTGACCATTTTGACACTGCTTGTTTGTCCCAGTGCCTATCGTAAAGACCTACAAGTTTGAGACTCATGATTCCCTTCTCTCTTCTATCCTTTACTGTTGAGACTGCTATATCGACTCCATAGGGGCTTTGGCGCAGTTCGGCGACGGGGGGGGCATTTTGCACTTTCATTGCTCTAGTTCCGGTTTACAAGTCTCACTCTGGTGAAACCTGTGAACTCTTGTGAAGCTGGAGCAAGCTCGTCAAGCCATCATGGTAAAACCTGTCAACTCGAGAAGAGGCTGTCTAGAAGTAGCTAAAGTGCAGAATGCCTCCCACCCCCCCCCTCCCCGTCGCCGAACAGCGCCGAAGTTTTGTGTTATTCTCTTCACCTTCCCCTTTTTACGTGGAGACGAGCCCTAGCTAGTGCTCTGCTCGAATGATGCATTCCCGTTCTCGCTAGGTTATTTCATTTTTATATGAACCTTTTCAAGGACATGAGCTCGGAAGAAAGTTAAAAGAAATGGAAAAGTCACTTCGTACGCAGAACGAGTTCTTTACGGCAAAATTACATGCACAGATGGAAGAACAGATCAAGGCTAGTCAGAAGCATGCAGAAGAGCTCAGGAAGCAAAATGAGTCCATTCAGGTAGACTCATTCGTATTTGTTCGAGACTCGAATCAAAAGGAGGCGCTAATAAAGGTGGTTGCTTGTCCAAGGTTACTCAAAGATTTCGAAATTCGATACTTTCGAAATGGTTAATCTGCGCCATAAATTCAAAATGGATTTCATTTCGTGCCCTGCACCAGAGTTGTGACTTTTTCCTCGGGCGTCCCCACAATCAAGAAAAGGAGTCAACTTGTAGGCGCAACAGTTAGAACTTCAACAGGCAACAGCAGCAAATTAAAACGTCTAATTATCAGGTATTCGTATGTAACAAGAGAAAAGATAATTTCTTGCTCATGGCACCGCTAGGTGATGACATGAATGCAGAGTTCATACTTCCTTCCACGTTCTCATCTTCCTACCCTCCATTAAAGAAGAGAACTTCTAGGCACAACAATTAGAACTTCAACGGCAACAACAGCAACTCTCAACTGCCCCACCATCGTCAGTTGTTCAGCCACAACCTATCATCATACCGTATATTCCTTCAAACTCAGGTTCGTTGAGAAAACCTATGGCATCGATTGTTGGTTGATCCCCTTGTCAAACGTATGATGCAGTAATTGTTAGAAAGGACATAAACACATTCAGAAAGCGAACAACGAAGGCAGCAGACCTGAAGCGTTTCAGAATAAGCAAAAAAGTGAGTGAGTGCAAGAAAAAGCCTATGCCGTTGATCAAGTTTGATGCGACACCACGCGTTATGCTTGTATTCAAAACAATAGTAGCTAGTTAAATGCTATATGGCCTGTACAACGACGTGCCGAGGACGCTGGTTATACAAGTCAGGGTTTTTTTCTATATCTGGTGCGATCCACCCATAAGTTCGATGCTCGCCTTGTCATGAATTGACCCAATGACCGCACGTCACTACACCACCTCCGCTGAAGTGAACAAATGAATAAATAGATGAGTAACTATGATAAATTTCGCCCAGATCTGCTACTGGGCTATAATCTATTTCGCTATCTATTATATACCAAGTCGCCTCGCCGGCTGACGCCGGCGCGGCTCCTTCTGATACGGCCCGGCTGCGCAGGGCGGGCGCGGCTTCGCCGCGCGTACTTTCTTTCACATATTTCTAGACTCAACTGATATCCGCCTTTTGTTGTGTACTCCACTTTTTTCCAGGTACTTTGAAGTGCTCCTGGGACAGGATTTTATGAGAATTTCAGTCTGGCTCCGCCCCGCTTCGGAAGCAAGGGCCCGCTCCACCAATTATGTAATCCCACGTTTCGATCAGGCGACCCCATCGCTGACCTGAATTCTACTTTATTCCGGGGTTCCTTCGGAGTGCCTCCCGGGACCGAGTCTTTACCACAGACCTTTTTTCTCTGGCTACCGCCACCTCGTGAGCAGGCTCCGCACACGCGTTTATGCCAACATACCCCTCACCGCACGACCCTCTGCTGACCTTAAAGCAAACCATTTTTTTTCTATGATCTTTGACGTGCTCTGGGCAGTTTTAGGGGAGCATGTTGCTACGTCCTGCGCCTCCGCGCTCCACCTGCGGGCCTGGCCGCGCCCACCAGCATGTGTATACCCTACACGTATCCCCAATCGGCGAACATCCATCCTGCTCCTTCTGTATACCCGCTTTTTCCCCGCGTGCCATCGGAGGTGCTACTGAAAACTATTTTACTACCAGATGTTTTTCCGCTCTCGACCTCAAACGGGAGGCAGCCCCCCCGCCCACAAGTGCTTTGTAGCGGCCCCAGCGTCCTCACCGGCGACCCTTTGCGCCTTGACGCACGATTGTTCCCGCGTTTTTGCCAAGTGGCGGCTCTGGAACGAGCTACAAAACTTCTAAAAAACGATATCCTGCGATTCAGGGCCAAGGCTACGCCCAGTGTCGGGCAGGGTCCCAACACAGCTCGCTTGTGAGCGTGCCCTGTACTCAGCCGGACTTTTTAACAGATTCCTACATGAGTTTTTGCGCAATTCCATAACTACTCTCGAGAACCGGATTAACTGAATTTGTGGCGAGAAAGCAAACCGACCCACGTTGAGTAACGCCACGGACCCATCTTAGGGTCACTCCTGCCACGTGTTACGTCTGGCGACTCCTTACTAACCTCCCTCTAGTGTCCTTTTTCCCCTCTTAAAGGCACCGCCAGTTCTCGCGACCCGGCAAATTGGCGGGAGCCGAACGGAACCTGCAATAGGCCGACAAAAAAAGTGCTAAGTACATACTAGATTAGCGGAGAAAAGCAGCAGAAAAAGCAGTCCGAAATGTTATAGAGAAAGATAACATAGTGGCTACTAGCTAGTAGCTAGCAGCCGGTGAGGGTCGGCATGGGCCTAAGGGGTGTCCATGGGCCTAATTAGTCAGGGCTCGTCTAGCTGAGTTCGTGTCGCCATTTCACATCCTTGGAAAGTAGCGACACCGTCAAATCGCCTTCCGGATCGTCGACCCAAGTGCATTCTGAGAAGGTCATAGCCTTATTTTTTACGCGACTGTGCTTTAAGCTGCTCCGGAAGCGAATTATGAACATTTTTCTGCGGAACCCCAAACTTTCGGCGAGTGCCCCGCCCACTGTGGGCGGGGCTTGCCATAGGTCAAGTGTGCTTTTTATTTCTTGTCCCATGCCCTACCTATCCCCACCTTGACTGGACCTCTCCAAGTCGTTCTTCAGGTCGAACCGAATTTCCGGACAGACAAACAAACTTACAAACTTACAAACTTACAAACAAACAACAAAGCGAATTATATATATGGGGTGATTACGTTTGACTGAGGACCACAAGCTCGGATAGGGCCCATACTCCTACGCGCTATCTAAGAAATGGGTCACATAAGAGCTTCACGTACCCTCCAAATCCCTGAGATGCGGTAAGCGTGGCTGCATACTTCAGCTGGAGGTGGCGGCGGCTACTGTTTTGGGGAATCGTTCATAGTGGACCAATTGCAGTCAAACCTTTGCCGACACAGGATAATAGTTGTTTCAAATCGAAATTAATCAACGAACATGCCATCCTATCCCGATTGAAATGAAGTACGCAGCCACGTCTTCCGTGTTTCAGGTGTAAGTAGTGTAGCATAATCGTGCGGAAATGCAGAGACACAGAATTTCTTTGTCAGCTGATTACATACCTTCTGCGGGTTCGAATAAAGTCCCTGGTCGAGCAAAAATCCCCAACCGAATTTGGTAATGGTAGGTGCTGGAGATACCACGATTCTATATGAACTCATTGGCTTGTGTTGGGGCTCATTACAGATCCATTTTCGGCAACCAGCATGCTATTTTTCAAGTATGTCGTGGCTTATGGGATATTGCCATATTTCTATTGTTGCACCATTTAGCCGTCTCCCAGCAACCTACAAATCCAGATTTGTCCTTGAGGGATTCGACATACATTGTGCAGGGAAATGGTCCAGGGGTGAGTGTCTAAGGCTACAATGACGGGGGAAATCCTAACATTTTTGGTTTGTTGCAGAGAATTACAGATAACGGCTACAGCAACAGAAACCGGCAGGAAGCCGGGACTCAGTCTGTAGATGGCGGCGAACTCATTCCAAAAGAGAACGACGGACATCAAAGTAAGCTAGGTAAGTGGGTTATGTTCGAATTCAATAGATGATCATGTAAAGGAAAGTATGTGACGACTTTTAGAAGGCGAATTGCTACTCCGCCTCGACAAACTCGAAGAAACACTGGTCAATGCGAAGAAGCCAAATGACGGCGCTCCAGAACACACAGACCTCACCAAATCATCTGGAGAACAGCGTTAGTTTTCTGTTTTGGCAGTTGAGCAAGTTTCGGGCCGTGGCTTAAAGGCAGTGGGCACGATGGCTGGGTGTGGGCGGTCATTGCCAACGTCATTGGTGGAAGAGCTGCTTTGAGGGCGTTCGGCCATACCCCGCTCAACCCTCCACCAATGATGTTGGAGGTGACCGCCCGCCCCAGCCATCGTACCTACTGTCTTTGAAGAAAAGCCGTCGTGCACGCTTCTCATTTTTTCTCTTCGCAAGTCTGCGAAAACGGCTAGCCGGTCCGTAAGTTTTGTAAAAGCCCCGAGCTACAAGCTCGATAAATAAAACTGTTTTGAGTTTTTAGAGTTGTAGTAGTTGAATAGCGTCTAAATACGGTATATATTTTGTGAATGGAATTCCTGTTTTCAGTAAACTGGCAAACTTCAAATCCCCATACCATTTCTGAAGATGATAGCAGTGACGTAGCGACTGACGATTCCGGTTACGTGGCCAGAGGAGGTTCGTCTGTATCCTAACAGCTTTTTGCTCAAAAGAGCAACCTTGGGCGCTTCTTCAGTTGTCATGCTTCATATCAGAAATTATGTAAGTGCTGTTCAGGACACCTCTCAGCAAATCATCCTGCGCGACAACTCCCTCCAATCGACTTGCTGTTTTTAGTGGACAGTTCAAGCAGTATTGGCATCTCCAATTTCGAAGCTGTGAGTAGCGATCTCTTATTTGATACAGTGTGAAGATTTGGTGATGGAACTAGAGAAACATGCAAAAAAAATCTGCGCCCCTCCCTCGTTTTCTTGGCAAGACCTATTTTGCTTCGCGGAAGCTTGTCCAATGCACTGTCATAATCTCCTCCATCCAGCTCTCCTCTTTCGCTGTTCATGCCTGCAATGATCATATGGGCGGAACAAACAGCTACTGTGTGTATCACGTTGGTGACCGCTCTCTCCAAGGCGGTGGAGAGGAGAGGGCAGAATGAGAAGGGCACAATTGGGTCCCACGTCGCCCACACGATCGCAGTAGAATTCACCTTTGAGAAAGCAATATAGTGATGTAGAGTAGCAGTGGACCGTATCTTGCAGTTCATGAAATATGGTTCGTACAAAGGAGTGTGCCTCGGGGTCAAAAAGGTTGTGGCTGCCGTCTGCCTCACTGACAGTGCTTTAAGTTTACTGAAAACAGAAATTCCATTCACGAAATATATACCGTATTTAGACACTGTTCAACTATTGATAGCCTAAAAACAAAGCAGTTTTTTTACAAGCTTGTGGCTCGGGGCTTTACAGAAATTACGAACCAATAGCCGTTTTCGAAGAACTGGGAAAATAATAGAAGCGGGCATGGCTTTTTTTGAACAGAGTGGGCACGATAGCTGGGGCGCGCGGTTGCAGTGAGACAGACGGCAGCCACAGTGACAATTTTCTGAGTTAGTGTTCCCCACAGCGCGCTGATATTGATTCTATGTTGACGAAGTTAATATGAAGAACCAATCAGACAGAGTGGAGTTCCCCAGCCCAATCTCCACAGCTTTTCGCAGCTAACTGCATCACAATCAGTCGGGGCGGTTCCAAGAGGAGTGGGAGTGAGATGAATCCTCGCTCCCTTCCACCATTGGTTGTTTTCTTCATCAACTGATCACTAGCCGATCATCGCTGGTACCGCATAACAGCCGATTACGGGCTTATCTCGCCCCTCTAGATCAAGCTCCAACTTATTCCCACATATCAACTACCAGT